TGTAAATGGAGTGGAAACCACATCCTTGTTTATCCTGTTATGCACACTGCTTATGTCCTTTTAGATGTTTTTTTAAACACAGAGCATTTCTCTGTCTCAGGAAGACTAAAACCTGTCGGTGAGCTTGACAGAAACACAGGAAGAGGAAGTTCTTACAAACAACTCATCCTCATTTCAGTCTGACACTCACACAGCCAGCAGAAAGACAACATGGAGGTCAGAGTTGCTAATATCAAAGTCTGTGAGTACTGATCCTTGTCTATCTATACAAACATACTGAATCAACTATTGAAAAAATGCACCTATGAAATTAAAGGGCAAATTAACATATCTAAAACACACTTATAAATATTAATGAATTAATTATGGAATTTGTAACTGCTCAGTGCTAAATGCAGGAATCAACACTAATGATGAAGAAAAAATATTCAAAAAGTTTACATGTTTAACTGTCATTCTTAATCCCTACAGTGATTAATGTGCTGTTGATCTCAGTTACAGTAGCTGAATTCAGTGACTCTCAAACACATAGTAAGTAGTTAAAAATTCATGTTGATCTATTTATAACAAAAATGTAATAGGTAAATATTGTCTCATGACAACGTGAAAGGTTCGGCAACTATTGCACTTACTTTTGGGCTACAACAGCTGCAAAAGCATTGTGCATTCCAACACAACATTACATTAGAATACAACTTTGAAAAAAAATCTGTATTTAAGAAAAACCTAAAAATACAGCATACATGTGCATTTGTTTCAGTAAATATAGTAATATTGTCCATTTGTGTTTTGAAAGACAGAAGCAATAACACATCTTGATTTTCTGTTTTAGATTCAGGTTTTCCTGAAGTTGTTCCAAACAGACAGCAGTTCTTTGAATTAGAATCTATAACAATCAGCTGGTTTGGTTTTGGATTTATCTGTTTCTGATGGACTCAAGCAAGCTGAACGCTTCACTTCTTCCACCTTTTTACAGGAGTGTTTTTCTGTATGGGCTCTGCTGAGGAAACCGATGCAACAGCAGGCAGAATCTTTGTACTAGTTGCTGGAAGAACCTTTACTGTTTGGCAGCTTGCTGGATTGCGCTGTCTGGGGTAGGACTACTTTATCCAGACGGCTCCATGCTGCACAAGTCTTTTCTCTGAAGAGGGTGGTAGAGCTGGCTGGACCTCGGCTGGATAATTCGGACTCGCTGCACAGCTTGGGATAAGGTCTACTTGAGTTGTTGGTCAGCTTTTCGATAATTGGAAATGCAAATTAGATGGAGTTGAGTGTTCACTTTTGGCAAGTTATTGTGACGGCACTCTGTTTCCAAATCATTTAGATCCTTAGCTTTCCATCAGACTGTTTTCTGGTTTTAAGAACTGCTTTGGTCCTTTACTGGATAATGTGGATGTTGCGGGGGTGTCCCTGGAAGGGGCCTCTGGAAAACTTTGTATAGGATGCTGGTAAAAACTCTCAATCAAGGCAAGTTGAATGCACACAATGACACGGTGAGGAGGACCCATCTCTCCTTAGCACCTGACATCAAACCAGCATGGAGATCCCTTTATAAACCTCCCCTCACGAAAAAGCATGCAGACTTGCAGTGGAGAATTGTTCATGGCATTGTTGCTGTAAATTCTTTTGTTTCTGTTATTAACGCTGCTGTGGAAGACAAATGTCCATTCGGTGTGCAGAGGGAGACCCTGTTTCATTGTTTTTCTGAATGTGTTCGCCTCTCGGCTCTGTTTGTGCTTCTGAAAGCTATCTTTAGTAGATGTGGGGTGACTATTTTTATTTGTGGTTTTAGATTTACTCGTCTTAGGAAGATCAAATGCCAGCTGCTTAATTTTTTGTTAGGACAGGCAAAAATGGTGGTGTATATGAGCAGGAAGAGAAAGTTGTCAGAAGGGCTGAATGTTGAGGTAGTCCCTGTGTTTAGGGTGGTCCCCACCAAGATAAGAATACACGCTTGCACACAGATGTGTTTTCATCACGGATCAGTTTAGTCGATTAAATCATCAGAATAAATTATAACAGTAAAATTATTATTAGAAATCAACTTAAATAATAAACACATCAATATTTTTTGTAACACAGAAAACAAATTCAAGTAACATAAACGTCTGACTTGTTAGACAGCTGTTCATCAAGTGAGTTTCTTCTGAATCTCTTCTATTTTATTCTAAAGAAACAAAATAAAATCTTCTATGATAAAATTCAATCAAAATGCATGTCTTGTTAAACTGTATATAGTATAAATTTAAAGCAAAAAAAATATAGAAATATCAGGCATCACATTGCAAAATGACAGCACTGACAAAAATAACCCATGTTTTATTTGTTGTGTTACTCTGTCGTTTGCTGATTAAAAAAAGGAGAGACACTAAAGACACTGGGAACATAAATTGAACACAACACGACAGTTTGTACGTGCGACTTTAGCAAGAAATATATTAAAGAAAAACTTACACACCTGTTCATTGTTTCTCGCTTGTTTCTCTGACAGTTTCTTCTAAATCTCTTTCATTTTTTTGTTTCTCTCTCAAGTGTTTAATCATTTGTTCCTTGTCTTTTTCTAGTTTTCCCTTTCTTTCTTTCATTTGGATTGTAATGTTCTCTGTTTCCTCCATTAGCTTTTCTGTCATCTTTAACAGTTCATCATGTACTTCTGTTCTCTTTTCCAGGTCAGTTTTTTTATCTTCACGTCTATTCATTTTTTTCTCTTTGTCAAAAGTTGGGGCTTTGTCTTTCTCCAACCTTTTCATGATCTCTTTCATCTCTGCCTTGTCCTCCTGCAGCAGTGTGTTGAGTTTTTCTCTCTGGTTCTTCAGAAATGTCTTCTGCTCCATCAGTTTTTCAATGGTTTGTCTGACATGTTTTAAGTCTTCCTCATTGTTCTGCAACTCCTCTTCAAGTCTTTTCTTTTCCTCACATTCTCTCTGTAATTTTTCCTCCATCTCTGTTTGATGTAGTTCATTTTCATCCTCATCATGTTTGCTGATTTCTGTGTGAATAAAAATGAAAAAAAAATGTTGAAAAGTAATATCACTGAGAGCTAAAAAAAAAACAGACTTGCTTGCTACAGTAAACATTTTTCCCCCAAGATTTCACATTTGGAGGGAAAAATGAAATCATAATCAACATCACAAAAAAGTTAAATCATTCGCACTGAAACAGTGTTAATTAAACCTAATAAATATCAGGTAGATATATATATTATGTTTTTAAGAAACATTTTAAACTAAAACACTAAAAAAATATAGATTACGTTGGTTCCAAAGGTAGGGATAAATTTAGTAATCAGTACGTGTTTAAAGTTCCAAACTAATGCATCCATGAATTTAATGATTATCTGCGTTTGTCAGAAAAGTATAATGAAGTTAGAACTTACTGGTTTTCTTTTGTCCGCATTTCCATATTAGTAATACTGTTGTACCAATCAATATTAAGCAAACAGCTAGGTTGATAGTAATCTGAACAGCAGGATTACACTGGACCGAGTAGAAATCACCTTAAATTAGAAAGCACACAGAATGTACTGTCTGTAAATAAGAAGTAATGTGAATAACTAATAAAGTCAGGCCATAGCTGGACTGGCCATCGGGCACACCGGGCATTTGCCTGGTGTTGGCAGATGTGTAAAGATAGCCCAGTTGTTTGGTGGTGGCTATGGCGGAGCTTCCACTGAGGCCAGCAGGTGGATGAGGGAAAGGAGGGGAGGCAGGAGGAGGAGAGACCTGATGCGGCCGCAGGTGAACTGAACTTCAGGTAAGAAGTTATGACCTGCAGTCTATCTGGGTCAGATATAAACCAAGTTTAGGTGGAGGTAATTTTAGTTGTGCTGACTTTTTACAGTCAGTCACAATAACTCGTACTGCGTACTAGCTAGCATGACGGAGTTTCTATACAGCTGGGTGGGTGCTATGATGCTACTGATAGTGAACTTTAATTTATTCATAAGGTTAGTTAGTAGAGTTGGTCACCGTCCCGTAAAAAACGGAATTGTCCCGTATTCAGAGAAAATATTACGTGTTTCGTATTGAGCTGAAAAGAAACAAAGTTTGTCCTGAACTTCAGATAGAATGAAAAAAGACAAAAAGCTGGAGTTATTCTGTGTCTTTGCTGCACAGCTGCCTCTCCTGTTGCTACTTCAATCATGAAACTGATCAATGATCAGCTGATTGGATTTCCTGACACCATTCCCGTCTCTCTTGTTTATCGCCCACTTTGCATTAGAAACAGGAAACCAGCAGATGTTGCGCTAAACAACAGCAGCATGTTTATGCTTGATCAGTTGTTGTTAGAATTTATTTAATATTAATTTCTAGCATCAGCTGATGTTTGCTGGAGCCACAGCTGTAAAGCTGCTGGTCATGATATTGGTTTGGATATGTGGTGAGAGGGAAACATGAAGATGAAACCAGGAGATGTCCTTACTGAATCATCAGAGCTGAACAGGTGACGGAGAAACAGGTTTAACTTTAGGTGACATGAATGAGTTGAAGGGAAGTTATGAACTGTTTCTGAGAGACAAATAACACCAGGATCCTTTTCTACATAGCTGACAGCTGGAAACTGTGCAGGGGAGGGTCCAGCAAAGTTTTGCCAGGGAGCCAGTTAGGGAAATTGACAGGGAATGGGGGCACAAAGAAATACTTTTCTTTCTTATTCTCATTTAAAATGTCTAGCTTATAATAAATTATTATCTGAATCTTACAACCAAAGTTTTTGTCTGATGTAAAATGTATAGAAATCATACATATATACCAACAAGACAGTACATCACTGTCACAACAGCGTTTGTTTTCATTCAAATGCTTTTTGGCTCTTCCTATAATACCTGGTGTGCCGGTCTCTAGTCAAAATGCCCGGGCCGAATTTTTGTCCCAGTCCAGCCCTGAGTCAGGCATATCTCATTTTTCTACCTGATACATGGATATGTGCTTCTTCAGTCTGGTTGATGTTCTTCTGTTGGACTCTGCAGGTGAGACTGCATGTCTGTCTCTTGTTCACAGTCACAGTGCTGCTGACAGTATAGAGCCCGTCAGAACCTTTGGCACTGTTTGTAGATTCAGCTGTGATTTGGTTTCCCTGACTGTTCAGCCAAAACACGTGAGGCTCTGGATACCAGCCGTTAGATTTGCATTTAAAGAAGATTTCATTTTTGACTTTGGATATTTCCATGACTACAGAAGAAACAGAACCTACAGAGTAAAATAAGGATAAAAGTTACTTGGAATGCAAAGTTAAGAATTAAATCATTTTTGAATTATTTCAATGGTTCATGTTAGTCCAAATTCCTTCCAGATTACCTTCAATTACCCTGTGGTCACGCCATATACTTAAGCTTTTTGTTGAAATGGTACAGTGGCCTAAATTGTAATTATAAATACTACTATGCTCTTTTAAAGATCCATTATGGTTGATCCTGTTACATATTTAAATGTTCTTATGGTCAGGTCAAATGCTTTTTTCTTTTGTTGTCTTTTAACCCAGCAGCCCAAATGTTCCTCTCATTGGCCTTAATGCCCTATGAAATGTCTCTAATTCTAAATACCACTATACCATACCATATATATACAGTGGGGCAAAAAAATATTTAGTCAGCCACTGATTGTGCAAGTTCCCCCACTTAAAATGATGACAGAGGTCAGTAATTTGCACCAGAGGTACACTTCAACTAATTCTAAATACCCTCACTATCTTCCACACCACTCTCCTGTTAGTAAACTGCACTTCTTGAGAACTCAATAAACTATGCCATGCGTCTGGTCAGTCCAAATCTCAATCCAGTTAGCTATGTTAGCTCAAGTAAGAACTAATCTGTCTTTCCCAAATTTTATTCAACTCATATGCTCCTGTAGATGATTCACTTCCCAGTAGAATATCCATCTTGTCATCCAAGGTAAGCTTCTGTTTTTTTAAGAGCAAATAGTATTGATGTCAACTTACCAACAACGAGCTCCATCCCAGTTTCTGCACCAATTTCAGGAACAAGGCATTTATACATTCCTGCATCAGAGACTTGCACTTTGGAGAGTTTCAATGAAATGTCACCGCATTTCAGTTTGTTGACAGACAGTGATGTTCTTCTGGAGTATAAAGTATTCTGAGTCACGAGCTCCGCATCGTCCCGCTTTAAGTGGACAAATCTTGGTTTAAGGTCACGTCTAGACCATTCCACAGTCAAGTCAACAGCATCCCTAGCTGGATCTAGCTGGCATGGTAAAATGATGTCATCCCCTGTAATTGCAACCAATGGTTGAGTTGGACCAATAATCTGAAACTGACCTGTGGATAAAGTATAATAAACGAATAATATAATTACACTTCATTTGGGTAATTTTTCTTGGGCTGCAATTTCCCAGGTGGTGTTTTCTTTATATCTTTCCTCCAGTTGTCTTGCAACACTCCCATCACATATACACAAAAACTCTCACCACATTAACATTATGTTCATTGTTCAATATTATTCTGCAACTTACCTCCACAATGCCATGTTAGAAGAAGAAGGATAACATCACGATAGAAAATCAAGAGAAACCTGTCCTTCATTGAACGCATTCTCGATTTCTGCATAGTAAAAATAATATAAATACAGTGGGTATGGAAAGAATTCAGACCCCCTTAAATTTTCACTTTTTGTTATATTGCAGCCATTAATGTACACACAGCACCCCATATTGACAGAAAAACACAGAATTGTTGATGGTTCTTTGCAGATTTGGAGGAGGTAGAGCAGGTCATCTGTCAATCTGAAGGTTGGTGGTTGGATTTGCATGTAAGATTGAAAGCACATCCATAGAAAAAACATTCTGTGAATTAAGCCCTTTCAGTACTCAGAGTAGAAAATTGCTAAGAACCATTTACCTGTGATATCAGTTACACAGTTTCAAATTTATACATATATTCTGTTGAGCTTATCTTTTGTTGTTAAAGTTTTCAGTGCTGGTACAGTTTGCATAATAAATGTGCTCAATAATGAAACAGATGTTGATTTAAAAGTAGTTTCACACACACGTGCATAGAAATCACTCTTGGGGCTCCCTGGTGGTCACACCAGTTGCAAAAAGACAAGAATTCCGTGCATTAGCCTACAATGGCAAAATGGTTGAATCTGAGGGAATACAGCAAAAAATGTCAATAAATACAACTTTTCTTCAAAATAAAATGCTGACATTACAGGATGCATGGTTTTATACTACAACAGTATTACAAGAGAGCATAAAAAATGTGGTTTCAGTAGAAGTGAAGGTGGCATTTTTGTGTCGAAAGACACTACACAAAAAATGCAATCAAATCGATGATGTTGCTGTTCTTTGACATGCCAAAGGATCTAATCACCCCAATGTCACATCCTCATCCTATTTATTATATGGAGAAATATTTTTTGTGAGTTTGTTTGAATAAATAATTAATACATCAGATATTTAAGCTGTCATTTAAAGGCTTAAAATCCTAAAAACAACACCAACAAATGTTTTATAATTTTGAAAAGTGCTCAATTTGATTAAGTGATTAATCAGCAGAGTATGGATGACATCTAGTTCAAAACTGTGAATAAAAAGAACAACAACAACATGATTGCCAAATAAATAAAAGTCCTGAGAAGGGCATGTGGGTTTTTACAGTGTAGTAAACAGTAGTAGCTGCTGCTATATCTTCCTTTGAAAGCAGAAAAGTGAGCTCTCTCGTTTTGATTGACAGAGTACAGAATAAACCTGTTGAGCTTAAAGCTTAAAATCAAACAAACACCTCCAAACATACAGGGTTTTTTTCTGAGGAAACTGTCTCTGCCCCCAAACAGCTGAAAAGTCGTGTTAACTGATGATTGTCACAGTTCAACACTTTAATCTCAGTAAATTCTACAAACGTGCTTCATCTTCAGTCATTTCAGACAGCTGTGCTCCTGAGTTTGTATCAAGCAGTCATTTTCAAAGAAGAAACTGAAATTATTCATGTGAGTTTACTCCGCCCACTCTGTAAACAGCAGACCAATCAGAACCAGCCTGTGGCATTGACAGAAAGAAAATCTGAGAAACCTGCTGCTGCAGTCAGCTCTGTGTTTTATCTCTTTTGGGCAAATAAATTAAAGAAAAGCACAAAGGCTCAGGTGACCCATCAAACACTCACCAGGAACACAGATCAGCTTAGACTATGATCTTTTGGTTTAAAATTAACTTGCTCAGTATCAGTGTAACTTAAGCACATGACTAAAACTGAAAGCTCAGAGTTTCTTTTAAGTCACCTTGATGAGACAAAGTCCTGCTTTACGTGCAGGTCTCTGCACGACTCCAAGAACAGTTCTTTATAAACATAATACAGCTTTTTGCTGCTACATTTGGAGCTTTGTGGGAGCTTTTAACAACTGACAGACATTTGTCATCTTGTATGTGCTCATGGTTTGACAGAGAAACAACAGTCTGACTTTATTCAGAGTTTATTCAGTAACATGTAGAAAAAATCCCTTTGTTTTTCACATTTTTAGTGTTTTGTTATAAGGTTCTTGTTTGTTTGTTCTCTGACTCAAAACAAATTAAAAACGAAAACAAACAAATAAAAAAAAGACTTACCACAGATAAAGACCCTAGACGCTGACACAGTGATTCAATCTGTCACTCTCAAAGTGAAACAAGTCGCTGGAGCCGAGCAGGAAACGAAGACTGAGACAATGATTAACGAGTCACTGCAAACCAGACACTCAAGTCTGATCAGTTTCTAACGTTCA